TTCCATTCTATGGCACCTTTAATTGTTTCTATACTGTCTAGATACTGTAGACAGACAGACAGACAGACAGACGGACAGAAATAGTATTTATTATATGTGTGATGATTAATATAAATAAAAAAATTCTTCACCTGATTAAAAAAGTTTTGCTGCAATTTTACATATATATATATATATATATATATATATATATATATGTATATATATGTGTTAATATAAAACATGTACCATATGCAGGACATTAAAGATTTGTTTTGATGCCACCTTTTTGAAACCAATGTAAAACATACGTACATAAAATAAATTACATAAAATAATCTATAATATGTAAAATCCCAGACCTGTGTGGTCTGATTCACAAACTAATTCCATCCATGAATATATATTAATTATATATAGAATCTTGAAAAATATATTGTTCCTATATTTGTTTTTTAATTTATTTATTTTATTTTAAAAATTTTATTTTATTTTTACTTATTTATTTATTTTATATATAGATTTATTAGTTCACCCAAAAATTCTGTCATTAATTACTTACCCTCATACGTAAACAATGTATGCTGTTCTGTGTCAGCAGCACCATACAGATACGCTGTTTACGTTGTTTACGCTTTGATCTGAACGTAAACAACTTATCCGCGTACATACGTTGCATACGTTGTTTACGTATGTGATACTCTCCAAAATGGCACTATAGGGTGGAGACGAATTGTTGAATTAAGTTGTTATTTTTGTTTTCTTTGTGCACAAAAAGTATTCTCGTAGCTTCGTAAAATTACATTTGAACCACTGATGTCACATTATTTTAATGATCTCCTTGCTATTCTGAGCCTTGATCGTGTAAGGATCCTTGCTGTCTATGGGAGGGTCAGATGGATCTCGGAATGCATTAAAAATATCTTAAATAGTTTTTTCCGAAGATGAACGGGGGTCTTACGGGTTTGGATCAACATGAGGGTGAGTAATTAATTTTTGGGTGAACTATCCCTTTAAGGCACATTAACACGCCTCCACATTTTCAATGGTCATGGTCAGGATAAAGGGGGAGGCAAAACAATGTTCAACACTACACCATTTTCATAATAACACCTCCTTAAAATGTCCCTGCAGGGGAAACAAACACACACGTTGACTCATCGTTCATTGTTTCGAACAGATTCAGTCTGTATGAAATCCTCCTATTAAAATAAATGAAGTCTGTTTGATAGACCTTGAAAATAAAAGCCCACAATGAGAGATGGGCTCACTGTGTTCCATCAGTAAAAAAAACTATTAGTAGGTCTGGCCAAGGACCTCCCAGATACCCCTAATCTCAGAATGAGAAGGTTAAAAGGCTGAAACATGCACGTGACTTACCCAAACCATCTTCTGCGAGGTACCGATCCCTGGCGTACAGCACAGAGTCCAGCATTGACTCAAACAGTAGGAAGTAGCCCTAGAAAAATGACAAAACTGGGGGAAAACGTTTTAAATTTTTTAAGATACATATAAAAGGCCAGAGATTGCATTTAGGTACACTGTAAAACATTATTGTGATTTTAACAGTAAAAGACTATAAAACTGTTACAGTAAAAACTTAACTGGTTAACAGTAAGTTTCTGTACTATATACAGTGAATAACTGTAATAGATCTAACCTTACATTTAATGTAATTTTTATTAAAGAAAATGTTTTATCTTAAAATCAATTTTATACACCATCATTTTCGTTTCTATAACGTGTGAATATATCCCCTTAAAGGTGACTTAATGTAATTTTACAATAAAATTCTGTTAAAATTAAATTTTTTGGAAGTGAAAAAGAACAAGTCATTGTATAATGACACTTCACATTTGATGTTTTTTCATTGAAATAGATTTCTTTTTTTCGTTTTTTCTTATCAGATTTGTACATTAGGGTTTTATCTTGCATCTAATGATAAATTAATGTTTATTTAATTAATGCATTAATTTAGCATCATGGATGTTACGATGATGGTGTTTAGTATTTGTGTGAATGACACTATGCACCTTTTATATATTAGTATTTAGCTTCTCAGCTTGTGGAAAAGCTGCTTGTGATGAGCATTGTCATTTTTGCTGTCAGCAGTGGTACAAGGCAGATGGTTGGTATATTAACATTATATCAATTAATGATATGTGAATTTTTTTTTTTTTTTTTTTACTGTAAATGTAAGTTAAATCTGTAAAACCTAAAATGTTGCTACCATATTTTTATGGTACATTTCTGCCGGTATTTTACCGTAAATGTCACAGGTTTTTTTTGTTGGTGTTTTTTTTTTTATTGGAAACAGTATGGAAACAGACGCTAAGAAAAAGCACGTCATACTACTTCTTTCTTCTTCTGTTCAAAGGCCGTTTGCATACTTGGTTCATATCGCCACCTAACTGGTGATTGTGTAATCATTTTTCTTTTTTTTTTCATTTAATCTTTAATCTTTGAGAATACGAATTATATTGTTTGTTTGATGCTAATAATATAATAAGTAATTTCAGATATGTATTTTTATTATAGAAATAAATTATAGAAAATGCTGATCCATGCTGTGCGAGATGATAATATAAAATGAAATAAATATATATAATATAATAAATTAAACATTACCTTGTCATAATAGTGTTTTATAATTTATACAGATAACTATATATGCCAATAAAAGAAATATAATAACCATATTAGAATAATATATTACTTATATTAGTGCTTTATAATTAAAGTCCCCCGTAGTGAAAATCAAGTTTTTTATGTTGCTTATTTGTCTATGTGGTGTTTTTAATTTGCTTTTAGACAAACCATGTGCCAATCCATTAATCAACACCATTGCTGAGTATTTTCTCCTTAAAACTGTAGTTTCCCAATGGCAGTCCCAGAAACGCGGTTTGAAACAGCCCTCGGTTTGCTACATCACAAAATTCAATAACCAATCATGTCAAGGGATAGATTCCTATCATTAACATATCCCTCTCTCCATTTATACAAACGCGGCGCGCATAGAGATCGCATGCAAAATATTCCAATAGGATTACCAGCACAAAACCAAAAATAAAATACAGCAAAAAACCAATGAAGCCGTGGTTTAATGTGAATTTAGAACCGCTAACTTGAATAATAATCCGCGGCAACAGTGTAAAAGTAGCCCAGAATCAGACCCACCTCTCCCGCATTGAAATAAAATAGAGCAAAAAACCAATGAAGCCGTGGTTTAATGTGAATTTAGAACCGCTAACTTGAATAATAATCCACGGCAACAGTGTAAAAGTAGCCCAGAATCAGACCCACCTCTCCCGCATTGGCGGCCGCACTTCACACACATATGCTCGCGGGCACACTTAATTCTGCGAATTAAGAATCACAAACTTGGCTGCATTCGAGTCTTCAAGGCATTTTGAGGACCCAACATCTTCAAATAAGTAACTTTAATGACTGTTACAGTATCCACTGTAGTTGTCCGCTAGTAAAAGCAGTTTTATCAGTCATTATTCTTGGATGAGGAGGCCCTGGCTGAGTGGAAGCGGGGATAATTTGCATATTCATAGATCTGCATATAGTAAATGAGGTAAGGGTGTAGAGTTACATTCAAGCTATTTTAAGGCATGAGAAAATTATTTTCACAAGAAAAAACATTTAAATATGTAATTTTGATGATCAAAGATGAGTTTTAAGGGATAAAATGTTTGACTACAGTGGGACTTTATATACTATATATATATATATAGGGTATAAAAAAGGTTAGTATACCGTGGCAGCCCTCGAGTGAAGCCCTCGTCGTGTGAAGACCGAAGAGTGTAAAGACATTCGACTCTACCGTGTGATTCCACCGGGCAGGGACACCGGCAAGAGACATAAGTATCACTTTTGATTCATCCTCTTTTCTACACCTTGCTTCAATTCTGTTTCAGTTTATTATGACCAACTGTTCCTATGTGTTTCCATATCCTTACTATTACTACCACTCGCAAACCACGCATCACACACTATAGGCAGTCTGCTAATACACTACTTTCTTTTTCTATTGGTCTCTGGAATTGTCAGTCTGCTTTAAATGACTGGGTAAAAAAAACTTTTTCCGCTGAACACAATATATTTTGTTTTTGAGCAACACACAGAATATTAGGAACAGTAGAATTTGTTTATTTTTTCCTTGATTTGTTTCCTAAAAAGAAGAAAAATAAAGACTGACAACTTTATTTAACCTGTAATCTAACCTTAAATCTGTAATTGCAGTTATTTAATTTTAATTATATAATTCATATACATATCATTTGTTATAATTTAGTTATATAATTTCATACACAAAATTCACTCTATGACAGCAGGAGGCGCTTCTGGAACACCAGATACATCATTTCCTTGGTTACCGCTGTAAACAAAGCAGCGCTGCGCTGAAACACTGCTTTAAAGGTGGGGTAAGCAATTTCTGGCAGCCAATGTTGACATTTGAAATCACCAAAACAAACACGCCCCTACCCCAAAAGGGTCTCGCCCCTAGGTGCGACAAAATACTTTGGAACTCATTATAATCAGTGATGCTGTCTACACCATAATTAATTAATTAATTCATTACATTTATATAGCGCTTTTCTAGGCACTCAAAGTGCTTTACATTGTCAGGGGGTATCTCCTCATTCACCACCAGATATCTATATATACAGTGGGTACGGAAAGTATTCAGACCCCCTTAAATTTTTCACTCTTTGTTATATTGCAGCCATTTGCTAAAATCATTTAAACTTTCCGTACCCACTGTATATGATATAGATATATATACATATCTATGGTCTACACTGGATGCGGCGTGGTGCGACACGACAAATCCCCGACAGAAAACTGCTGCTGCGTTGTATTTATGACGTATTGACACAAATTTCAAATGATTTTCAACGGTCGCTTTGTTGCGTCCAGTGTACTAGACAGACTCGAATCAATTTTCTAAAGCGTTTTTGAAAAATCGTTTACCCCACCTTTAATATGAACTATACAGAGACGAGATGAAAAGAAAATACCACGCACACTTTTCTGAAGACAGTCAGTTCCCCTCAGAAACACCCAAATCAATATTGATATATTATTGAATATTTTCTTCCAATAGTTTGTGCATCATGAACAGTGAGTGATCTGCCTGCTACAGTATTTTTCTCTGTGCGTCCGTCTTCAGCGTCTCTGGCCTCTGTTAACGGGCGTTTACAGACTTCATATTTTCACATAAATGACATTTTGGAAAATGATTGCATTGCAACGCAGTTTGTGCAAGTCCAGAATAGAGACGAGTTGCAATAAGACAAAAAACGTCCGGTTGCCGATCGTGTAAGTTCCAGGGGCAGCTCCTTAAGTTCGGCCATCCAACACACACGTGACTGACCGCTCGCTCGCACCATCAGGAGGAGGGTCGTGTTACTCTCTACACTGCACTCAACCTGAGGGATTCCTACACTTTCCGTCATTGAGGAGACATGAAAAACAGCGCATACCGCAGGAACGGTATAACGGAAAATATTCGTGGTTTTGAAACCGTGAAATTTTCAAATCGCGGTATACCTTGAAACCGGTAATCGGCCCATGCCTAGTCTGCAGTAAACAAAGCAGATTTCATTACATATATTTCTAGTCATTCAAGACTAAAACTCATGGCCCCGACAGAGACGTGGATCAAACCAGAGGACACTGCTACTCCAGCAGCACTCTCCAATAATTTCTCATTTTTCCACACTCCCCGTCTGCCTGGAAGAGGTGGAGGTACTGGTTTGCTTATCTCTAATGATTGGAAATTTATTCCTTTACCTTCTCTGGGTATTAACAGCTCCTTCGAATCACATTCAGTCACTATTAATCTTGTTTAGACACTGTATGCCCCTTGTCTTCCAGGCCAGCCCGTACCCCCCCTTCTGCCCCTTGGCTGTCTGATGTTTTCCGCGAACATCGTTCTAAGCTCAGGGCAGCTGAAAGGGTGTGGCGCAAATAAAAAAAATCCACCTGATCTTAATGTGTATCAGTCACTCCTCTCTTCCTTCTCTGCTAATGTCTCCACTGCTAAAAGGACATACTATCATGGACTCAGGTCAGTAGGTCACGCATGCGCTGATAGCGCTGAAGTAAGCTAACCCTGAAACAGAACCTACTCCAGTGCAGGTTATGTTCAGAGAGTAAGTTACTATGGCTACTTACATACTCTGAAAGTTACCTCCGTTTTTTGAACCGAAAGCTGAGTTTATCCGCTTACTTACCTTAAACATACCCGGGTATGTCATACCTGGAATACCCCCCAGAAGTCATAAAATCATGCAGTTTATTGAGGAGAGATTTACAATATGTGCATTTACATTTAAAAACACAAATGCTAAAAAATATATAGTAATAAAAATGCACAGATTTTTATGTTTAGAATAAATTTATTTTAAATTACAATGTGTAATTAAATACATTTATTTACTTATTTAT